CTGTTTAAAAAATAACAGTGAGGAATCTAGGAAATAAATTAGGCTCACACAAGGCTATAACCAACTTTTACCAGGTTCTAAAACTGTGCTTAGCTTTTATTTTATCTATTTATTTTTTGCTTTTTTTTTTTAAGATAAAGAGTGTTTTGAAGTTGTCAGATTGTGAAAGTAGACTATATTGAGATTAGTTCATGTTGCTTGGTAATAAAAATAAGTAAAATAAGTATTAAAATGACCTCAAGAACTGAGTAAGAAACTACACAATTTTAATAGCATACTGTATAGAAAGGCACATGGAGAATATTTTGTAATAGTTGATCTAAGTCTTCTTTTGGAATGTCTCATGACAGACTGTTAACTGCAAGAGGAATTTAGAATGGAATATACCCAGCTAGCTTACAACAATACAGTATATTGGTCCTCTGTTTACTTGGCATAAATTTTTAACATTTCCTAAACTTATTTAAAATGTTAAAGTTTATCTTAAAATATTCAGTTCAGAGTATAAGCATCTATTTTTTTTTTTCCAGAGGCAGTTGTTTTGAAAGATGATTAGTGTATCCTGGGGGGGGTGGTATATGACTATAATTTCAGAATTCGGGAGGTGGAGATAAGAGGATTGCAGTTCAAGGCCACTGGGGTAGAAGGTTCCTCATACTCCATCACAACCAGTAAAGCTTGGCGTGGTGGTGTGTGCTGTCATCCTAGCTCTGTGGAACGAGTAGGCAGGCTTGCAGTCCAGGATAAGTAGGAGACCCTATTTGAAAATTACCTAAAAGTAAGAAAGGCCTCTGGGGGCATGGCTCACGTGGTAGTGCATTCACAAGCACACTCCAGTGCTGCTACCTCCCAGCCCTCCCCCCCCCACCCAATGAAAAGACAGTATTTATCTGCTTTACACTCTGCCTGTTCAGCAGGAGTAGTGGTGTGTTTCTTTAGTGGCTGTTAAGTGTTTAGGAAGCAGGAATCATTAAAGAGCTGTTTATACACTATTTGGCTGGAGGGCCTGGGATGAGGGTGTGTGTATGTTGATGTTTTGGAAGCTTCCTAGGTGATTCTTTGTTTGATTTAGTTATGTCTGTTGTGTTTGTGATTACATATTATTCATATTTAAGACACGTAAATATTTGTTCTTCCATACCTACTGCAGTAGAATGGAAAGAAATGTGACTTTCTGCATCTTTTGATATCTAAGTTTATCAACTGAACTTTAAAAATAGGAACTTAGAAGAGAGTTTGTTTACTTTATTAAGGTACAGTGAGGAATGAGAACTTTACTTGTTTAACAGTAAGTACCAAAGAATCCATATCTGCATGCCTTTACCTTTTATCTTCTCATGTATGTAAACTCAACTCGTAAAGACCTTGATTCAAAGAAAATACTATCAGTGCCTGTCTCTGAGTTCTGAATTTTCCAGTCCCTGGTCTTGGAATGTGGAGGAGATGAAAGAAAACAGACTTGAGAATATGCAAACATGAACTCAGACCTTCCCCAGAAGAACGTCACCCAGAACTCCCCCAGCTCCTAAATCTCACTTTAAAATATGTTTGATGCTTTATCTGCATTTTGGGTCATCTTAAAGGAGTACAGAAACTAAATTGTTACAGGCAGGTAGAAAAAAGACAAAAATACCTGCTTGGAAAACATCCCTGGTCTTTTTTCTCACTGGAATGATTTTATGTTTAATGTTCTTCTTAGTAGGATAGGACTGTATGCATTAGAGTAGGAAGGTGTATTCATGAGTCTAGTCCTGAATAGTTCTAACCAGGGAGATGAAGTTATAATTAAGAAGGATTTTAGTAAATGGTTTATATTACTGTTTCCTTCTTATATTCCTAAAGATTTATTCTATCAAAATTTATAATTAGTGTACTGTTAGTGTTCTTCACTCTTTACTAACACACATATTTTAAAGAAATTTTTCTTCCCTGTTCAAAGAAACTCAGGAAGGAATCAAGAGAAATTGTTACTGGATGAGGGGTTTCCCTCAGATTTTCAGTTTTGTGCAAAAATCATAGGTTCAGATCCACAAACACAAAAAGAATTTCAAGGTTTCTCACACAAGGTATAAGTTTTAGCAAGGATTTATTTTAGTATGACAGGAGAAAATTAGGGAAAATAGGAGAAACATTTCCTGCTTCCCACACAGGAAATGGGAGGAAAGACTCAAAATGGTGTTTCTGATCCTTATGCTTTTCTTTTTTTTTTGGTGGTACTGTGGTTTGAACTCAGGCCTCATGCTTGCTAGGCAGGTGCTCTACTACTTGAGCCACTCTGCCAGCCCTATCCTTAACACTGTTTGAGCTGGGGGACCACAGGTGGTTGCGGTTTATTATTTTTAGAACGTGGAGATGTGATCAAGGCCTACTCAAAACACAGGGACAATAGGTGTTTTAGGACTTTCTTTTTCTAAACATGCCCTTCATTTTCCTGTTCCTCTACTCATTCAAGGGACTTTGTAGCTTATAAACATCTCAAAGGCAAAGGCAGATGCACGTAGCTTCTTTATGTCTCCCTGTTCTTGTAACTGAACATCTAGGTAGGAGGTGGGTAGCTGCTGTGGATTTCAGGTTTTACTTTCCAGTGTCTAGCCCTTTTAATATTCATTAAAAGTAATGTAATTTCCCTGTTCCCTCTATTATCTATCTTGCCACAAAATCCAAACATTTTGGGGCGGAACAAGTGGTATGTGTGGGACTGAGTTTGGGTGTGATTGTTGGCCATTCACTTTTTAATACCAAAAAATTAAACCATAAGAATATATTACTTACAGTATAAAGGGGTTATTGGTTATTGTTTTAAATAAAATGTGTTTGTTGTTAGTGGAAAATAAACAAAAACACAAAGAAATAAAAATAGCACCAGCATGGCTAAATCACCTAGAGAGGAGACGTCTGATACTATTTTGTTATAGATTATCTTTTTGAAAGAAAATGCATGTTTATGTATATAAATTTGTACATTTTGACAGCATATCTTATAATACATTTAAAACATAACAATATTATAAATAATCTTTCAGATCCTTAAGTATTTACCTTCATTCTTTTTAATTGCTACCATGTGCTACTGTGTGCTCTATACTTTTTTGATCAGTCCATTATGTTAGATATATAGGTTGTCTTAACTTTCTATTATGTAATTCCTTACATATAAATCTGTACACATCTATTCCTATTTCTAGCTGTAGAATTTCTTGTTCAAAGATACATAGCTATTTTTGAGGCATTAGCTACTATGTAGTCAAGATTTGCCTCATGGAAAGGATATGTAATTCATTATGGTGTATGAGATTCCCCTGCATGAGACAGAGCCCAGGTGGTCAGCCGTAGATAAGTTTTTTCACTGCAATATAAAAGATAAAACCTCTCAGGTCCATAGTTCTGGGAAGAAAATATTGTGGACATGCAAACTAGTTTTATTTCATACTTAGTATGTGATTGGCATTAGACTGTAATAGGTTTGGGAGACAATTAAATCTGGAGTTTTGGGATATTAGGTTTCTGGGCAGGGATAGATGGACTATTTGCTATTCTAGGTTAAATTCTTTTCTACTAATAGATTAAATTGTATTCTGCCTACTGGCAGGGGTAGTGTTTTATTAATGTGGAAGGATGTTTGGAACATTTAAGTTAGAAATCTGATTAAAAGTGAATGTCCAATTGGATTTTTTAAAAATGAGAGCTCACTAAGTAGCCTACAGAACTTGGAATCCAGGGAGACCTTATGCAGGGCTGGGTATGTGGTAGAGCTGGGTTCAAAACCTCAGCAACATAAAAAGTGAAAACAGAAATGGAGAAAACATTGCATAACATTTAATTGCTGTAAAATGTATACTGAGTATCTTATTTCAAGATAGAAAAGCACTCTGCTGGCACACTGGTGGTTCTGTGGATTTCACTTTTGGATCTAGGAGAGAATGAAGAGAAGAAGCTAGGCAAATAATTGGCAAGGAAAGCAAGCAGTTAGAACTCTGCTAACAATGCAGCCTTATTTACTCTTTGTCTATCAGGATTTCTGAAACTGGATTCCTTGGCTCTGTGAACTAGTTAGCACAAGAGCCCTCCTTTCCTTTTGGGTGCTTGGAATTGGAAGTATGCTGAAGAGAACTCTGTCATGTATATCTTAGTTGGATGAAAACATCCTGTTACTGTTAGGATTTGGTAGTATAAAGGGATTAATAATGGTTTGTCAGTGGAAGTGTCTGGAATTGGCCTGTTTGTGTCATGGGCATTTCACAGTGAAAAGGTTATATAAATTAAAGGGCTTTTACTCTTGAAACCAGAAATCTGCTAGTTATAGATTACAGTATTAACTTTTTTTTGTGTGTGTGAGCAAAGGACCAAAGACTACTTCATTTAACAGATAGGAACTTGGTTGTGAGAAAAATCTAAATTTTACCCTGCAGGCTCTTTCAAAGAGTACTACTTCTGAATAGTATCTGTTTTTGTTACCTAATCCTTTGTTAGAATCTGCCAGTAAATCTTAACATTTTTATTATGAGAACGAACCAGGCAACACTGTAATATGAGGATAAGTTATTTCTCTCAACTTTTTTTTTTTTTTGGGGGTGGTTCTAGAAATCCAAACCAGTGCTTTGAACATGCTAGGCAAGTATTCTACCATTGAGACACATTCCCAGCCCTCTTTCTCTAATTTTAACACTTTAGAAAGAGTCGTTTCTTTGGAAACTAAGGGCAAAATTTACTCCATCAAGCTTGTTACTGAGGGACCAGAGGAAATGTTCTCAGAAGCCACATATCAGGTGTTATGTCTTTTTTGTTTGCATGTGTCATAAGCTTGCCATGGATAATAGGAAGATTATTCCTATTCTTGCTTTTTTCTCTCTCTCTCATATTCATTTAGTCATTCACTTTGATTTTTCCTTTGGGAAATACTTCATTGTGGTTATCAAGTGCTATGAAAAATAATTCTTTGTAATTACAGTTTTAAAGTTCTGTTATTAACAATTTCCTCCTTCTTCCCCCCCTATCCCCAGCATTGGTTGGATGGTACAAAAAGCATCAAAAAGCAAGTAAAAAGTAAGTGTTGAAAAGTTATTTGGGGAAAATATGGAACTCAAATGTATTAGAAACTGATGCTTAATAGAAATAACATTAAAAATCATGCTTTAGATGAATATGTTAACATCTCTGCTTTCCTTTTTTTGTTTAAGTTTTTTGAGAGAGGCTCTTACTGTATAACCTAGGCTGGCCTGAAACTCACAGTCCTGTCCCAGTACTGGGATTACAGGCATGCTCTCCATGTCCAGCTAGCATCTCTGCTTTCTAAAAATGATTTCACTGTGATACAGTGACCTACTGACCAAGTTAAGTTTGATATTGATCTAGATAGATTTAAGACCCTTGCAATTTTAAAAACCTTGTAGCTTGCAAATGTGACTGACTTCCCATAAAATGCTTAACTTTTACTTAGTAAATACTTGTGTTGAGATTTTCCTGTTTCACATTTGCCCTGCTTTAGAAAATATTTTGGGATTTTAAGGCTAGAATGCTTTTTAATTAAGAATAATGAAAGAATTCACATAAAATGTCAGTATTATTCCTAGCAGTAGTCAAAGGAAAATATCACTGTCCAGTCCACAATCCAGTTTGTCCTTTGTAGTATCAGATTTCAAGGCAACTCAACTCTTGTCTTTACAAAATAATCACAGGACCACTGAGAGTATAGAGATTAGTGAGCTATTTATAGTGAATTTGAAAGTGTGGGACTGGTGGAATGGCTCAGGTGGTAGCACTCCTGCCTAGCAGTTGTAAAGCCTTGAGTTTAAACCCCGGTACCATCAAAAAAAGAAAAAAGGAAGAAAAGCAAAGCATGTGGGATGCTTTGCTTTGAGTCCCCAGGGCTCTCAAGAAGTAGCTATTCAGTTGTGCAGTGAAGACTTTTATTTAATGCACATAATCCTGAATTGTTAGAATAATTTAGAACTGTCTCTTCTTGAGATGACAGACGATTGTGATAGTATACCAGATTATGGTTGATAATTTAAAAATTCTACTGGTTGATATACACACACAACATATATAGAACATGTTTCCATCAGGACTTTTTAGGACTAGATAGAGGAGGGAGAAGAAAAGAGAAAGAAAGCGAACATTATCAAAACATGGAATCTGTGTAGGATAGTGAAATACACTGAAAGCTTTGAATGATAGGGAGTGGGGAATAAAGGGTAAGGGAGAGGAACAGAGGGGGTTAGTCTAATTAAAGTACAGTATACTCACAGGTGAAACCCCTTTGAACAATGAATATACACTTAAAAATGAAGGACAGGAATATAAAACAGGTCCTTTTAGGGATGGGTGCTGTGGGAAGGTGAATGGAAGTGGTAAAAGAAGGGTGAATATGGTTGATTTACTTTATATACTTATATGAAAATAGAACAATAAAACTTGTTGAAGTCATTTTAAGTAGGGGGAAAGGAGGGTGAGGGAGAGTGACGGTAAGGGTGAGCCTCACCAAGGTACATTGTAATCATGTATGGAAATGTTGCAATGAAACTCCCTGTATAATATATGCTAATAAAAATGTTAAATTTAAAAAAAGAGATTAAAGGATCCTGAGGAGACACACTAAACAAACAAAACTCTGATTGACCTTTCTGTGTCAAATTTAAACCAATGATCTGCCCTAAAATGATATTACAATAACCTGTTATCTTCTGATTATTAAGTAGGTAAATAAAATTAAAATGCTTTTTTTTTTTTTTAAATGGCAGTTGGTTCACCTTATTGTCTGCATCTTCGAGTTAAGTTTTATTCTTCAGAACCAAATAATCTTCGTGAAGAGCTAACCCGGTGAGACCACTATCAAGAGTTGTGTTGGGGTATTTTGGTAGTTTTAGAAAATTGTCTTTAGGATTGTTTCCCATTTATAGACAACTAATGCATTAGATTTCTTGCCCCTAATACAAGTCCTCAGACAATAATATTTTATTCTTGAATAGCATTTTAAAAGTGTATGATTCTTTCCTTTACTAGTTTTCAAAATAGAATTGGTTCCCTAATACCTTCCAAAGATGACTAGTGAATACTTTTTTTTTAATGTATTGTTACAAATGCATGGATTTTAAACAGGATTGATGTGTTTTAATATATTGTAATATTACATTGATTTACATTAAAAATAATATATCTTTGACCACTGTTAGTTCATTCAAATTGGCTCCTAACTTTCTTTACTCATTAAAATGCCATTGGTTGACAAAAATATGTTAGATTCCGATTTAGTTTGAATGGTTTGGAATAAACTTTAGGTTATGTACATTTATTTTATGCTGCCTCCTTGGTATTTATTCACTGACTTGCATATAAATGACATTGTACACACAGAATCTTCATTAAATGAAAAGTTGAGTTGCAGAATATCCAGTGGGATTATAGTTTTTATCCAAAGATATTCCCATGCACATCTCTCCACGTATGAGGTGGAGATGTTGTCAAAGTTAAATTAGGTCACAAAGCTCATTCTTAGTAATATAGTTTAAATATTGTCTCTTACGGTTGCTGTACTGTTCCCTTGGCCTGCTGTTCTTCTGTGTTGTGGTCATGCTGCCATTCTCCTGATGTTTAGTTTCTTTTTTTCCTACATTGTTTTTCCTTTACATATTTATTGTGGGTAAAATTCTATAATTAAGGTTCTCAAATTTGAAGGATAGGTTTTTTTTGTTTGTTTTGTTTTTACAGTAGGCTTTTTTGGAGCATGGGGCAGGACTGGAAGTTGAATTTAGAGCTTCATGCTTTTTTTTTCCACAGAAGATTGTTCCATTCAGTTAAATTTGTGTGATTTTTTTTTTTCCTTAGGTATTTATTTGTTCTTCAGTTAAAACAAGATATTCTCAGTGGAAAGTGAGTATTATTTAGCTAATAGTTGCCCATTGTCTTCAGTAGTTGAAAAATGATTTTGCGCATAGTTCATACTTACAAAAACTAAATGGTCAACACAAAGTATATATTATTATGTAATTTCATTTATCTTAAAATGAAGATTATGAAATTGACTTAACAAATTTGTATTTTGTCTCAGATTAGAGTGTCCCTTTGATATAGCAGTGCAATTGGCAGCTTATAATCTGCAAGGTAAGCAATTCTTGTGCTCACTGTTAAGATTAAAGCATAATACTTTTTTTATTTTAAAGAATTTTTTTTAATTTTTATTTTATTCATATGTGCATACAATGTTTGGGTCATTCCCGCCCCCCCCCCCCCCCCCCCCCCGTACCCGGCAGAAACTATTTTGGCCTTATCTCTAATTTTGTTGTAGAGAGAGTATAAGCAATAATAGGAAGGAACAAGGGTTTTTGCTAGTTGAGATAAGGATAGCTATACAGGGAGTTGACTCGCATTGATTTCCTGTGCATGTGTATTATCTTCTAAGTTAAATTTCAAGAGTCAAATGATGTGCAGAAAAGGAAACAACACTGTTTTTGCTAAGCTTGTATCGGTGTCCAGCTCTTAACTTTGACTTATTTTAGAACATTGTCTTCTTTTTTTCCCATTCATTTCTTTTTTTTTTTTTTTCCCATTCATTTCTTTGCCCCCTTTCTGTCTTGGTGTTTTCAAAACCTATTGCAGTCTACTTGATACTTAAATAAATTTTAAGATTGGGTCTTCTGTTAATTATTTTCCTAAAGAGTGCAGTGATATATAAGTAAATTATTGCTGTAGCCACATGGTTTGCTTCCTTTTATCTTGCTCTTAAAGATGAATCCATGAAGGAATTGCTTAGAGCATATTCAGAAGCACCTGATGGTCATTTTCAAGTGCTTTCCAAAAAATTAGATAAGTAAAAAATTTATTTTTGTACCTTCTTGCATTGATTAAACTGATGAATTTTCTTCTAAAAATGACATTGTAAAGAAAAACTATAATTTCAATTCTTGTTCACAAAATGAAAGGAAATATTTTGCTGGGACTGTGTCTATAGACTAGGACAAAAATAATATTTAATGATGATCAAGACTTTAATTCTGTGCTTTGCTTTTTTAGTGATTCCATATTTACCCCCAGTTCCTCGTAGATGAGCAGTATTTGTCATCATACAGATATTAAGACTAAATTTTTGTTATATGGTAAATCTAATATTTTTGCTATTTTGTGTGTCCATTATTGAAGAAAGCCTATTTTCCTGTTGATACAGGAACTGGTAATGAAGAAATTTTTATACTTCAGAAATTTTCCACTAATGTAAATTAGTGCTTCCGTTTCCTATCCTAGTCTGTCTCCAAATTAAAACTTGTTTTCTTGTCTATGTGTCAGGTAGCTATTAGCTAGTGTGGGAATACTGTGTATTTAGCATTATAATGATCATAATTATGTAGTTGCATAATTTTTTTTTTCTGCATTTTTGGGAATGAAACTCAGAGCTCATGTAAGGGCTCTCCCACTGAACTATGCTCCCAGCCCACAAATATTTTTTCAAAAGAACACCTGTATTTCATTATTTCCTGAATTAAATTAATTCTAAGTGCTGTTAGATCCACTGTTAAGCCACCATTTTCAATGTGTTAAAATATTTATTGTACCATGTATTCTATTTGTGCCTCATGACAGCCGTGGTATATGCTTCTTAAAATAAGATTTATACATTTTTGTGTATTTTAACAAAAATTTGACTCAGTGTAGTGTTCAATAAATACATGTCTAGTGTGAAGTGAAGTAGGAGCTAAGTAGCCATCATTATTGATCATGTCAAAGTAGTTCTCAATACAATTTTTTCTTTCCTGAATGGGATTGTTTCAACAAAATGAAAATATTTTAATTTTTTAATGTAAGTAAAATATTCTTTTAAAAGAAAAAAAGTCAAAAGTACAGAAAACTGGACAGTTTTCCTTACCCCACTCCTCCCACAGTTCTCCCGATGCCACCTTTCTTCTCCCTGCTTCTCTCCCTTACCTTGCCTTCCCTTTTTGTTCCCTTTCCTTCCCTTCTCTAGTTATTTCTTTGCAGTTAATAACAGGGAATACATCCTGCAGTGTTAAGTGGTGAAATGTTTTGTGCATATTACTTAGATTCTTTATAGATACAGCTAATTGTCTTTTAAGAATTGCTAGATTTTTTTCATTTATTCACTGTAAAGACTTCCATGAATGTCTACAAATCAGTTTTCAAAAGCTAAACATTAGGGTATGAATAAATGGAGATGTAATTAAAAGTATACCTCCAACAATACATGTGTGATTCATGTGTATAGACTGATAAGTCCTAAGTCTAAACTAGATTTATTTGGGGTAATGGTCAGTCTAGGCATTATGAATTCCTTGTAGTTTAAGAAAGACTCTTTCTAATCTTATTAACAATTTTAACTTATAAAGTGGTTTTGAAGAAGAATTTTGTTAGTATTAATATAATAACTTTGAAACTTGTGTTTGTAGCTGAACTTGGTGACTATGATCTTGCTGAACATAGTCCTGAACTTGTCTCTGAGTTCAGATTTGTGCCTATTCAGACTGAAGAGATGGAGCTGGCTATTTTTGAGAAGTGGAAGGAATACAGGTACTTATCATTTGATTACACTTCTAAAACATCACCATAATAATTTTGTATTCATTTACTTCTGTTTCTATCTTTGATATAGAATTTATTTTATGCTTACTCTTTCTAAAATTACTGTATTTTAAATTTCAGAGGCCAGACACCAGCACAAGCTGAAACCAATTATCTGAATAAAGCCAAATGGCTAGAAATGTATGGAGTTGATATGCATGTGGTCAAGGTAAGCACTTTATTGTGGTGCCTTTTAATAAATTCTTTTCTTTGGGACTTAAATTGACTGAATTTTCTAGTATGGGGGGGAGGAGGGCAGGGAGTTTGCATAGGCTAGCACTGAGTACTTTGGATATGTGGTTAAAAAAAAGTTGAGATTAAACATTGAAAGAGGCCTAAACGATGTATGCACATATGAATAAATGAATAAAGAAAAAAAATTGAGACTAGAATCTTAGAAAAACTCATTGAAAGAAAGAGAAATAACTAAATTCCTAAAAAAAAAAGTATGTACGTTCTTAGATACTTTTATTTATTTTAGCTATGAACACTATTGTTATTTTTTAGCTTATAAATCACTTTTAATCGTTGTTACTTCATTTGATCTTTCTGTGTGTGTGTGTTTTTTTTTTCCCTGGGTTTCTTTATCCTCACTATTCTTCTGTTGGTAGGATTTCAGGCATCGCTAGTATGCCCAGCTCTCTTGTTTCTTCACATTGTTTATGAAGTAAGACTCACTACTCACTAGGCTCTGTTTAAATTAAAGTATTTCAAGAATCAACGTTGAAAATTTGTAGCTTGAGAGGACTTGGGTAAACTGTGGAAAAACTTGGATAGTGATTTGAGTTATTTCTAGCTTAACTAGTAACATTTTCCCATAAAGGCAGTCTTTTCCCAAAGGTGCAATTTTTCTTTTTGGTGATGCTGGAGTTTAAACTCATGGCTTTGTGCTTGCAAGGCAGGCAGTTTATTGCTTGAGCCATGCCTCCAGCTGTAATTTAAATGGTAAATAGAATATGGGAAGAATCTGAAAAGACCTTTCTTTATAGTGAGAGTATTTCTGCCCACTTTCAGTGAAGACATAACTTTATACCTACAGGAGTCCCCTTTTATCTGTGGTTTTGCTTTCCATGGTCTCAGTTATATACCATCAACCAATGTATAAAAATATTAAATGGAAAATTCTAGAAAGTAACAGTAAGGTATTTTGAGAGAGAGAGAGAGAGAGACCACATTCACATGTTTTATTACCTTGTATTTTTATAATTGTTCTATTTTATTAGTTCTTGTTAACCTCTTACTGTGCCCAATTTATAAATTTAGCATTGGTATGTACATTTAGGAAAAAACAGTAGCTATAGTGTTTGATATTATCCACAGTTTCAGGTTATCTTTTGGGAGTTTGGGAATAAGAGGGAACTACTGCATAGTATTTCAGTGACAAAGAATATATGTGCAAGAATTTTCTAGAGAATGTGATTTTGGATACACTTGGATTCAAAAGATCTTGAATATTAATATTAGCCTATGTATAATTAATATCATTTAGTGTGAAAATAAACAGTTGCATGAAAATATGAAATATGTTTGATATAAATAAAGCTAATACATTTTCTGTCTTCTTAAATTAGGCTAGAGATGGAAATGACTATAGTTTGGGTCTAACTCCAACAGGAGTCCTTGTTTTTGAAGGAGAGACCAAAATTGGCTTATTTTTTTGGTAAGCAGAGTTTAATATCAGAGATACTGTTGTTTTATTTTTAATGAGTAAAAGCATTTTTATCAAGTTAATATATAAAATACAGTTAGGAAATCAGATCATTCTGAAAAGTTTGCAAATGGAAAGCACCTGTCTCCTGTTAAATACTTACTCATCTTTATTCCCACTCCCCAGAGCCAATTATTAAAACTCTTCCAGGTGTATTTTCTATTAATTTCAAGGTGTGGCAAAAATATGTCTTAATATATATAAAATATTTATTAAATGTTCTGGGATGGAGGTGTGGCTGCCTAGCAAATGCAAACCCCTGAGTTCAATCCCAGTACTACCAAAGAAAAAGCAAAATAACTTACGTAAGTGATCTTCCCATGAACACTCTCTTTTTCATGTGACTTTGTCACTATTTTTAGTATTTCTTGTTCCACCGACACTTTCTTTACCCCGTTATGTAAGAGAGGAGATATTAGTACTTGTACTCCTCTTTATTAACTTGATTCCCTTCTGTGTTCTGACTTCTTTTATCAATACTTATATATTTTACTTCTACATCAAGAATAGATTTTATACAGATTTTATAACCATAGAATTCTTTTTTTGGTAGGAATGGAGTTTGAACTTAAGGCTTCAAAGCGGGTGCTTTACCACATGAGACACAACTCCAGTCCTTTGTAGAATTTTGACTGGTATTCTAAAAGCTTAGAATCAGGAAATAGTGTTTACATTATTATGTTTATGTCAGAGCTAGTACAGCTCTTGGGAGTGTACTGGTGTTATAGCTAGGACCTGGAGATGGTGCCTGTATGCAGATCCCTGTGTTGTTTACTTTTCTCAGTAAGCCATGTTCCCTCAAAGCCTTCCTATCCAAACTCAAATTCACATCCATATGTTCCTGGTAGGATTTCCTGGAAGACTTGAGTGGAACACCTTTACAATCATCCCTTGATAGGTGAGGAACTTGGTGTATTTATCTACCCAGTTCTGCAGTATTAATTCTCTGGCCCTTCCAGCTTCCCTGTTGAGCAGATAGAATTTGCTTCTTGGCCAGAGAATGCTCTAGGCAGACAGCTAAAGAAAACACCTTTTGTGTCTCTCTGTATGATTATTGTGAAAATTAAAAGATTTTTCAGTGGGAATGAGAACCCTGTTTTAAGATTCACAGTTCATAGAACTTCAGAGTTAAGTGTGGTAGGTGGCTTAGAATTTTGGTGCAGTTGGAGAGATGGCATTGGAAAGTGAGCCAAAAAAATGAAGCTTATTTTTATTTTTTGTTTTTTTGAAATAAGGTCTTGTTGTGTAGTCCAGGTTGTCCTCTGAACTCTTGATCCCTCTGCCTCAGTGTTTTGAGTGATGGGATTATAAGTGTGCACAAACACACCTAGCTTCAAGTAAAGTGAAAAAAAAGTCTTTTTAAAAAGATAGATTTCCTCAAACAAAAATCGCTGTAAAAAATACTTTGAAGACCCTGATTAATCAGTAGTAGTTTCCTCTATTCCTTTTTTAAGCTTTGTGATGTTTCCTGTGTTCCGTTCTTAGGCTGTTTCTTGAGACACTTGAACCAGTTTTACATAGGTCTGGAGAATTTCTTATACACATTTGGGAGGGAGGGGCTACAAAATATATAGATTTCTCCATTTTCTTTTCTTAACATTCTTAATGTCTAAGTTATGTGTAGCATCAATTATGTCAGAGGTTTTGGTTTAGAAATAATGTATTTATCTTTTGTCCTTTCGTTTAGACTAGAGACTTGTTTGGGCAGTACAGGTTACCTATCAGTATTCATTTCTGATGTTAGATGATGAAATGTACTTGATGAAAAAAAAATTTTTTTCCACTAATCTGACTGCTAATCTCATTATTTATAGGCCAAAGATAACCAGATTGGATTTTAAGAAGAATAAATTAACCCTTGTGGTTGTAGAAGATGATGATCAGGTAGGAGTGGTATTGCATTACTTATTGAACAGTGATTGTGTTGTACTGATAATGTCTAACCCGACAAAAGGGAATACACCTCATTGTCATAGAGAGGCGTAGAAGGGAAAGTTAGTGTTATTAATAAAGCATTTTCCTGATTCAGGTTATACCATCCTAAAACTTAGGTCTTCTGTTATTGCAATTAAAGATAATGTGAAAATTTCTTGTTTCCTTGATAACACAGCTGAGGTGTGCAAAAAGTTGACTTAAGTGACTTTATCCCTTTAGTGCTTAATCAAAAAGATGAATCACAAAGATCTACCTAATAATATTCTTTAATATGTCCTTTTGAACTAAGGATTACTTTTAATCAGTTAATATAGTTCCTAATGGAGGATTACTTTTGAATTGATACACATAGATGCATCTCAAATGGATTATTGTTAAGTGAAAGAAGCCAGCTGAAAAAATTGTGTACCGTATGATTCCATTTATATGACATTTTGGGGAAAGCAAGCCTATAAAGATGGAGAATAAATCACTGAGTGCTTGGGATTGGGGTTTGCGGGGTAATTGACTACAAGGAATGAGGGACATTTGTCAGGATGAGGGAACTCTTTGGTAACTTGGTTTTGGTGGTGGTTGTAAGATTACATTTAAAACTGACAGAGTGGTATACCTAAAGTAGTCTTTACTATATGCTAGTTAATAAACTTTAAGACATATACATAAAGATACAGAATAAAGGAAATTGGGCAAAATGTTAAGTTGAAGCTATACGGTATGTCTATGAACATTCAGTTTTTCTGTATGTTTAAATATTTTTGTAATAAAATATCAGAATGATAAATTTTTTTGTGTTTTTTGATTTTCCTTTCCTAAGTAATTTCAGTGTTGTACTCCTATTTTAAAGTGCTTCCTATATATTTTTTTTAACTTTTATCATATACAGGCATTTTTTCATGTTAGTTGATATGTAATTTATAATTTGTAATTTTTGTCCTCCTTATTGTTATTAGTAGTGATCCATTTTGGATGTACTAGTGTAAAGTGTGAAAAGGACTTGGTGGAACTGGTTATGTGCCTAGTGCCAGTGGCTCGTGCCTATAATCCTAGCTACTCAGGAGAAAGGGTTAAGAGGATTACAGTTTGAAGCCAGTCCAGACAAATCATTTGAGAGACCCTATCTCGAAAAAAATCTCTCACAAAAACAGGCTAATGGAGTAGCTCAAAGTGTAGGCCCTGAGTTCAAATTCTTGTACCAAAAAAATTTATGTAATGTTGCTGATACTTGTCAGTATTGAATTCTATTTCATCTGTCTAGCAGCTAGCTAGCTAGCTATGGCAGAACTAGTTTGAACTTAAGGTCTTGCACTTTTTTTGTGTGTGAGAGACTGGGGTTTGAACTCAGGTTCACATTCACAAAGCAGGTGCTCTGCTCCAGTCCACTTTTGCTCTGATTATTTTGGAGATGGAGTCTCAAGAACCTCTTGACTAGTGCTGTCCTTGGACCACATCCTTCTGATCTCAGCCTCCCATACCAGGACTATGGTGTGAGCCATTGGCTGCTTTGGTTATTTTTAGATAGGTTCTTTATGTCCAGGCCAGCCAGGTATGTGATCCTTCTACTTATACTTCCCACATAGCTGGGATGCCACCATGCCCGGCTTTTATGGGTAGATAGTCCCCAAATTTTTTGCCTGAATCCCCTAGTCTCTGCCTCCTGAGTAACTAGGATTACAAGCTTGAGCCACTGTGCCTGGTTGGATTTTATTTTGTTTTAATTTGCTTATAATAATTAATATTACTATTTTAAATTTGATCTTTTAATAGTTATAGATATTATCATTTGGTCATGTTCATTCTTACATTTCTTTGATCTTACAAGGGTGCAATATAAAATGCTATTATAAATTTCAGCATTAAATATTAATAAGCAAAATGAGATTATGATATCTAGCTATCATTATACTAGGCTGTATCATAATAGTAGCCTTGTGATGATTTTATGTGGATGTATAATTGAGAAAAGAATAAGATTTTAGCCGTTAGTATAAGTTAAAGACTCCTATAAACTCAGTATAATTATTTTTTCAAAATTTTTATATTGATGCTGTACTGTTCACTTTTCTGTAATAAGAACTCCTCTGTTGGCAAATGGTCTTTTAGTTTATACATGAAAGGTCTGTAGATTCTTATCAACCTTTGTAAAATAAAAGAATGATAGTTTTATTAGAAGCCTGTCCATGTCAGATTGCTCCTGCTTAATTGGAAGCATTGTTTTTCACTCTGTACATCTTGATTTCTGTTTTGACTTTAAAGTTGTTCATGTGAAGTAGAGAGAAACTGAGTGCTTATTTGTTTGGTATAGTGCTAGGCTTGTGTTTATCAAGATGAATGAGAAGTATTCCATGTTCTCAAGGAAATTGAATGTAGTGGGAATGTCCAGTAGAGAAGCTATTGCAACAGTGTGGTTGGTTAGTAGTAAGATAAAAGTACATAATATAGCCAGGCATGGTAGTGCATTCCTGCAATTCCAGCTACTTGGGAAGCAGAGGGTAGGAATATTGCAGTCCAAGGGTGATCTTCAGCAAAAAAGTGTAAGACCCTATCTAAAAAATAAACTAGACTGGGTGCTGGTGGCTCACACCTGTGTAATCCTACCTTCTTGGGAGGCTGGGATCAGGAAAATCATGATTCCAGACCAACCTGGCCAAAAAAGTTCACGAAATGCCTTTCCCTTCCCTCCCCACACCTCAGCCAATAGCTGGGTGCAGTGGTGTGCACCTGTCATCCCAGCTTCCCATATAGGAAGCTGGAATGGGAAGGACTGAGCTTCTAGTCAAGTCCAAGCAAAAAAGTTTGAGACCCCATCTCAGTGGAAAAGGTGGGTGTGGTGGTATGTGTCTGTCATGCCAGCCACTGCACAAAGCATAAATAGGAGGATTATGGATTTGCCCAGGCCAGTCAAAGCAAAAAGTGAGACCCTTTCTCCAAAATAAACAGAGCAAAAAGGGCTTGCAGGCATGACTCAAGTGGTAGAGAATCTGGCTAGCAGTCACAAAGCCCTGAGTTCAAACCCCAGTACCACCAAAATAAGAGAGAAAAGAGTAAATAATCTTTGTAACTCTGTGAAGACATGTGAACGTGTGTGCTCATGGTATCATTTTCATGCACTAAAATGCTGTGTGGCAAAGAAAAGTTGTTATTGACATGGGAAGAATATGACACAGTGAGTGGTTGGTATAGTAGTGTTTTTATGTCTGGGTTTTTAAAAATGGCCATACCTTTCACAGAGAAAAGTTTGCATAGATTTATTTCAGACTGCTGAATGGATTATTGCACGGTGAATTTTGGCTTTGTGTGATATTTTTCCTTGCTTATGTTTTCCTAAATATGTGTTTATTTCGTATAAAGTAAAAGTCAAAGGATAGGAGTTAGAAAGGCTCCCAGTACTAAGTTTTTTAGGTGCTATTTTAAACTTATATTTCACTTAGGTCTTATGAATTTACAGAGTTGGGGCTGGGGGCATGTCTCAAGTGGTAGAGCACCTGCCTAACAAGTACAAGGCCCTGAGCTCAAATTCCAGTACTGCCAAAAAAAAAAAAAAAAGAATTTACAGAATTGTCCTTTTTTTTGTGTGGTACTAAGGTTTGAACTAAGGGTCTCAATTTTGCTAGGCAGGTACTCTACATTTGAACCACTCTGCTAGCCATTTTTTGTGATAGGTTTCTTAGAGATGGGTTCTCACGAATTCGCCTGGTTAGGATTATAGGCATGAGCCAAAGGAGCCTGGCTCAGAATTGTCTTTTTAACTTTTGGTGAGGGTATAATGGATCTTAGTGGCTCTTATCAAAAATCATGCCTGAACTCAGCTACTCAGCTACTCATCCCAGCTACCCAGGGAGGCGTGGATCAGAAATATCAGTTTAAGGTCAGCCTGGGCAGAAAATTAGAGTAGCCATCTTAATCAATATGCTAGGTGTGTGGTGATGTTCATCAGTACTCAGAGCTACATAGGAGGCATAGGTAGGAGGATTGTGGTCTGAGGCTGGCCCCAGGCAAAAATGCAAGACCCTATTCAAAAAAATAACAAGCAAAAAAGAAACCGCGGACGTGGTTCAAGTGGTAGAATGCTTGCCTAGCATGTGCTAGGCTGGGAGTTCAGTACTGCCAAAAAGAAATTAATAATGCTTTCTTTACTTATAGCCGGCTAGATAAAAGAGCTTTTTTTCTTTCTTTTTAGAGACAGGATTTTGCTGTGTAGCCCAGGCTGGCTTTGAACTCTTTTTGATCCTCCTGCCTCAGCTTCCCAAGTGCTAAAATTACAAGCATGTGTCATCATGTCTGACAAAAAGTTGTTTGTTTGTTTTTCTCTCTTCTCCAGGAGATCATTGACACTAAGCATCCATGGCAAAATCTAAGCATATTTTGCATGAAATGTAATATAACTGCTTATCATTTTAGACTTTAAAAAACACCTGTCAATGACCCAAACATTGTATGCCCATATGAATAAAAAAAAAAAAACCACCTATCATTTAGTGTACATGAGTGTGAACTATGTATATATTTTTTAAAGTCTTCTAACAACTCAACTGGACCTCGGTGTGGTGGCACATGTTTGTAGTCCACCCTAAACCGGCTCCAGAACAATAACAACAAAAAATCCCAACAAACTTGAGACTCTATCTGAAAAAATAACAAAAGCAAAAAAGGCTGGAGGCATTTCTCTGGTAGTAGAGCACTTCCTTGCTTACTTAGCAAGCATAAGACCCTGAGTTGAAACCTCATTACTGCCCCCTCAAAAAAAAAAAATCCTTCAGCTGAACTAGCTAATATTTCTGCATAGATTTCAGTAAACTAATGTACATCTATTTTGTGCACTAATAGTTGAAAACACAAAAAGTCCTACAAGGAAAAAAATGTTTCTTGTATCCCAATTTATTTCTCTACAAAGTATTTGGTGTTATTTTTCTTCCCAGAAGTATTGGGGATTGAACTCAGTGTCTTGTGCT